CATTCCTGCAGTCCCTGTATGGCCACAACCCTCCCCTAGGGACAGGAGCCACCCAGACCCCCCACCTCCAGGGCACCTCCCCACCCCACCCTGGTGGTCACCTGGTATAGGAGTACTTGTTGTTACTGCGGTTGTGCAGAAGCTTCACCACGGGCTGTTGGGGAGAGAGGATAAGGCTGGGGGTCGGGCTGCAGGAGAGCCCTTAGCCACCACCCTGCAGGGCTCAGGGGCCTCACCTTGGAGGTGCTGGCCAGGAGCTGCTGCTCCTCCCGGGGAGAAGTCACCGTGGGGATGAGGCACAGCGGGGACAGATTCTCCCTTTTTTGCTGGAGAAGAAGCGGAAGGTGGTTAACAGCACAACCAAAAGGCACCCACTCCCCCACTTAAAAGTCTTCAAAAGCTGCTGCTTGCCCTTGGGAAAAAATCCGACACTGGTGTGGACCACAGGCTCGGACCTCTGCTGACCTCACTCTCACCTGTATCACTGCCCTGTTTTCCAGGCGTCAGCCCCATCGACTGCCTTATTCCTTGGCACATTCAGCTTATGTCCGCCCTAGCCCTTTGCTGTTGGAACTAATTATTCCCTGCCTGGAATGCTTTTAGCTCTTAGCATGGTGGCGCATCATATCATTCAGATCTCGGCTCAAACGGCGCCTCCTCAGAGGTGAGGAAGTCCCCCTGCAAGCATGGTCCTCCTCCCCAGGTTCCCCAGCTGGAATGGCCTTTCTTTCACATGATCAGTTCATCTTCTCCACAGCATTTAGCTCATGAGACTTTCTAATTTTTTGTATTTTTATTTACGAGTTTTTTTTTTTCTACCTAGGGATTAAGTGCCTAGTATACAGTTGATACTCAACAAACATTTTTTGAATGAATGATTAGGTGAGATGTGGCTGAAGAAAAGAATCAGAACTAAATACTTGGGCTTTTCTCTTCTTGCATAATTTCCATGCCAAAGCCCCTCTCATCATTCCCAACCTTGAAAACTAACTACAATTTTCTTTCTTCTTCTTCTTTTTTATTTTTTAGAGGTTTTTGCTTTAGGATGTGTGCACTCACGTGAGAGAAAGAGAGATAGACAGACACAGTAGGAGGGAAAGTGAGAAATCACCTCCCTAGGGGGATGGCTATGCTGCAATCCCTTCTCCTCCATTCTCCTCCTAGGATATTGGGCACACATGCACACACCACCCAGCATGATTGTAAAGCTACTGGGTCCGGGACTTGAACTGCGATCGGTCATGAGAGAGTCCAATGACATAACCGTGACACCATCTGCTGGTCCCTATATGTGTAATTCTTTTTTTTTTTCCTTCTTTTTTGAGAGATTTTTGCCTTAGGGTGTATGTGCTTGCCAGAAAAAAAAAAGTGAGAGGGAAAATGAGAACTCACCCCCCAGGCAATATGGCCACGCCACAATCCCTCCTCCTCCATTCTCCTTCTGGGATCTTGGGCACGCATGCATACACCTAGCATGATTTTGAAGCCACTAGGTCTGGGACTCAAACTGCGGTTGGCCATGAGGGAGTCCAATGATATAACGGTGACACCATCTGCTAGTCCCTCTATGTGCAATTCTAATATCCCAGGATTTTTTTTTTTTTTTTTAGTAATTCATGACTTTTTCTAAAATTAACATGAGAACACAAGAGTCTAGTTTCTTAGGTCCAAATTTTTTTTTTAAGTTTTTGCTACAGTTCATGTGTGCTCACTGGAAAGGGCGGGAAAGTGAGAAATCGTCCCCCATGGAGACAGCCATGCCACAATCGCTTCTCCTCTAGTCCCCTTTTGGGATTTTGGGCACACACACACATGTGCTGTGCTAGGCAGTTAGCTAGAAATTAGTGGGCAGCCCTAAGATAATAGCAGAAGGGGACCTGTCACTCAATCACAACTTATCCGGAGTTACAACCAGACCATCTGCAGACTCCTTCCTCCTACCAATTCCTGGCACAGGAAGACAAGGCAGATCCCAATTTCCTTCTTTAGTACCTGAGGAAGACACATAGGGATGGTTGTAAACTTACCTCTTATCATTCCTCACAAACATAAAAAGACCCAACAGGATGTTTTGGTCAACATTTCAATTTCTACTTGGGCAATAAACTAATCATTCAGTTCATTAAAATAAGGATATTCCTATCATGGAGGCTCACACTGGGCATGTGCAATTAAGTAATCAAATTCCTCAAAGTCTTCACCTGTAAGAAAGATAGGCACGTGCAGGAGAAAGCCCGGGAATTCAAAGAACACAGATACTGAGAGATCTCTCACTGTTGAATATTCATTGTCACCTCAAGTAATAAAAATAACACCTAGCCAGTTCCAAACGCAGTTGCTACCTAGCAACCGGCCTGCCCAAAAGTCTTTTGGGTGTACTTTTCTAAAATCTTTCTTTACTATTAAACTCTTTTCTACCTACTTTTATTGTGGTTGTGGCTTTATTTCGTGCAATGAGGCAGGTCCTTAACTTTAGAGAACCAAGGACTTTACACAATGCAGTTCAGCACTCTCCCATTCTACGACATTTTGGTGCCATGACTTGGATTGTGCTTTTCAGACCGATCTCTCCCGGCTACAAACACCAGGTCTCCCACTCACAATGTTGTAGTAGGTCCGTGAGTATAAACCTTGCCATGCTTCGCTGGGCTCTTTGCTGTCACTAGTTCTGACTTCTGGCTACTTTTTTCTTCCAGGTGAGGAATGAGGCTCCTTGAGTGTGCTTCCTTAACTACAGCTTTTTACATACAGTTCCTCTCTAGCTGAAGATCTGTGGCCCACAGACAAATGAGCTCCCCCATATACCCAATATGCCATGGTGAGCAGGCATAGGATGACCATGAGGGACACTCTACTCAAAAGCGGGGAAAAGAGCTGGCACAGACTAGTCACTGGCCCACAGGACTTCCATAATCCAGGTAGACAAATGTCGGGAACTCTTTGATGCCTGCTCCTGTTTGGGAATGGTTCTCCAGGGCTCTTGACTCTGCCTTGAGTCATCTTTCCTTTATGAAAAGCATGCAGCTCTACAGTTTCCTCAGCCTACTTCCTGCCTGCATGAAGTTTAGGAGTCCAAAGGTCCCTTCTGCTTCTGCTTGGCTCTGCCCGTTCCAGTCCAAGCTGACAGCATTTCTTTCTTTCTTTTTTAACAGAAGTTTTTACTATAGGGTGCATGCACTCACCAGAGAGACAAAGAGACAGAAAGCGAAAAATCATCCCCAAGGGGGATGGCTACACTGTAATCCCTTCCCCTCCATTTTCCTCTGGGGATCCTGGGCATGCGCACACACAAACACACACCCGGGCATGAATTTTAAGCCACCAGGTCTGGGATTGAAACCGTGGTTGACTATGTGGGAATCCAGTGATGTAACCATTATGCCATCTGCTGGTCCCCAACCTGGCAGTTTTTCTGTCAATATAATTATCGTTAGAACTTACTGAGTGTCTTGCATGTCTTGGGTTCACTTCATTAGAAAAAAGTTAATCTCACAAATCTCTGCAAGATAAGCCTTTCTCTCCTTGGGCTTGTGCTGAGACAGCTGAGACAATACTCTTAAGTGTCCTAGAAACTCTATGAGGCATCTTCTGGGATATTTCTGAGTCTTAACAAAGGATTCTATAATCACATCCACAGCTTCATCTTTAGACCTCGTTTTCCAGAGAATGCACTCTATTTAATTTTTGCCTGGAAGACATTTGTTACTTTTAACTTCATCTGTTATCTGGAAAGGCTAGGAATTCTCAAACCCAGCAAATTCTAGCTCTTTTTGTTCATCTGGTTTTTTTTTTTTTTTTTTTCCTTTTGCTTATCCTCTTCTCTTCTATTTTACTATAAACAAAAAAACACCAGGTTTTTTTTTAACCTTTAACATTCTGTCTGGAAATCACCTTAGCTAGACCACCCAGTGAAGTAGGTATATTTTCTACTTTCTACATTACTATAAAAAACAGTGTTACTAAACTTTTTTTTGCCACTAGCATAACAAGGATCCCTTTTCCATCAGTTTCCTGTAACTTTCTTGACTATTCCTGCCCTCACTGCAACCTCCTCAAAGGTCTTTAGACTTCTATTAATGGACTCTTTAAAGCTCTTTAAGCTTTTACTAACTCTCTCCTCAAAGTCCTAGCTTCTGTCCATGTCTCAGTTCTAAAGCTTCTTTTACATGCTGATTTTTTGTTTGTTTTCATTTTTGGTTTGTTTGCAGAAGAGTGAGTGCACTTGCCAGAGAGAGAGAAAGTGAGAAACCACCCCCCACCCCCCCAGGGGGATGGCCACAACACAATCCCTTCTTTCTCCTCTTGGGTTTTTTTGGGCATGTACACACAAGTACCCAGCATGATTTTCAAATTGTTGGGTCTGGGACTTGAACTTTGTGATTAGCCATGTAGGACCCAGCCTACTTAAACTCCATGTCACCTGCTGGCCCAACACATTCAGGTTTTTGTTATGGCAGAGTCCCACTCCAAAAACCAGAATTTGTTCTCTATTGCTAGGTAATACATTACTATAAACTTAGGTTAAACAACAATAAATCTTTATTATCACATATAGTTTCTGTGGGTCAGGCATGTGTGCTCACCAGAGAGAGAGAGAGAAGAGAAAGTTGTGGTCACACCATAATCCGTTTTCCTCCCTTTCTCCCACTTTTCAAGATTTTGGGCCCACACACATACATGCCCAGTGTGGATTTTGAGCTACCATGTCCAGGATTCAAACTGTGTAGTTGGCCATGTGGGATCCAATCACCTTAATCACTACGCCATGGGCTGGCCCAAAAATCTTCGACTCTACGATTTAATTTATATGAAATTCAGGATAGGATAGGGTAACAAACCAAACTATACCATGAGTAAACAACCCAAAAAATCTGGAATTCACGGCATTCTGTAGGGCAACTGTGGGTTGTCTCCTTAACAAGTCGATACCATGAGAAAAAAGGAGACCGTTTCGGACAGGAAAGAACTTACAGAACATAATAATGAGATGCAAGGTGAAGGTCAAGACTGGATCTTGGTTTAGATGACAAGCTATAAAAATCATTTCTGGAATAACTGAAGAAATTGGAGCATGCCCTGGATGTTAGATAAAATTTTATTGACATAGAAAGATGGCAAATATTAAGAATTAAAAAGTAGATTACAAAACTGTACATATAACATGACTACTTTGGCAAACATACACATGCACATGCACACACAGAGGGAAAGATCTGGGAGGATATTTAATGTGTTTATTTCCTTGGTCATTTCCTGAATCTCTACGATTCATAAATACTGCTTGCTTATTTATTTGTTTGTTTGTTTGTTTTGCCATAGGGCACAC